TCTTTCACTACTTTCTCCTGGTCCTTTCCCGCTGCATATGACAGTATTTGTGTAGCTTGTCAGGGGGAAAACAGATGGGGGAACGGGAGGGATCAGAGGTCGAATCTCTTTGCCTCTTTGCTAGTCTGCCTTTTATTTTTGACAGCAAAATGTTCCTTCTGGTCGTGTTAGCGTGAAAAGTGTTGAAAGGTGTGAAAATGAAAATTTACTACTTGGCCGCCAAGATTTATGCTGGCCAATATTTTCGCTTTCTCCTTCAAAAGGCGACTGAGAGTAAGAGGAACTGTTAAGGGAAGAGAAATGTCCAAGGACTCTGGTGTCATCTAAATGAAATGAGAGAAGTGAAACTTTGTGTCATCGGTATGTTGTATCTATAACTCTAATTCTTCAGCATACTCTAACATTTTACTTTCCTGCCTTTATTGACATTTCAAAAAAATTATCTTCTATTTGACAAAACTAATATTGTAAAAATAATCACAAAAAACAAAATAAAATGGGTAGAACTAAATTTAATTAAACATTCTTGTTGGTAATTTAAGTTATTGGTTTGGATTAAAATAATATACAATATACGTACTAAATTTGTTTTCAATATTTCTTTTTAATTTTCAGTCATTCAACATTATCTACAGTTTCTCTTTTGTATTTTTCTGCAAATATTAATTTCCCTCGCTGCAACGCTCTAATATCAATTTCCGCTTTCGCATGGAATCCATGCAAATGTCCTCCTCTGATTGCCTTATCGATTGCCGACAACCTGATCCAATACATCCCGTCTGTCTGTCATTCGCACTGTCGTCGATTGGCATCCCGACTTGACGTATCCCCACAGCAGCAGCAACAAATCTTGTGTCAAGCATCCCGACACGCACTTGATAAATTATTATCTGCAGTCTGGGTGATGAAAGCCAATGAAGTCGGCAGGAGGGAGATCGGGGGAGCTGCTCCATGGAGTTCACGTCGTTGCCCTCGGTGCCATGCACTTTGCACTTCGGCACAATTTATATTTAAAAGACAGGAGGTGTATGCAGTGGGATCCAAAAGATGGCCATACAGAGTGAAAAATAATGGTGTCAATGGCAAATTGCCATATTCATTTATTGTACGCAATTCCTAATAAGTTCGCATTGGATCAATTATACACAGCAATTTTTAAAGTAATTTTTCAAACCTCTTAATTTAATTTCAAATAACCAATAATATACATCCAAAAGTTTTTTACTTCCGTTTTTTCCTGTAAGCTGGTATTCTTTATAACTAAGAAATTTTGGATTCACATATTCCAAAATATTTTTTTATTATGCCGAGGAAATAATAAATGTTCATTTGTATTTATTTTCATAATCGTTGAAATAAAGGTACCTATTTAAGGAAGTGGATGATACATTTGTTAGTTTTGAATTATATCGTATTTATTTTAATAAAGGTCCGAGATTATTTTATGGCATTCTTAAATAAGATTTATGTAAGTCCAATCCTCCTAACCTATTTGACATTGACATTTTTGCTCAGTGCACCTGATTTGAGGAAAATGAGAAGAAGCTGCAGCAGCAGTAGCCGGAAAAGTGTCCAGCAGCTCTCGAGAGCGACGCGTAAGTGGAGCGGTAAACAAGTGACCCGACCACGCCCACCAGCCACCGCCGCCCACATGGAGGTCATGGGAAATGGGATGGGCAGGCGGATGTTGGAAGTCGAAGGAGGCAGCTGGAGGCCGAGCTTTGTGGGCAAAATGTTGGCTGCAGTCGCTCAGCGGGCGGGCGCCATTTACCAAGTGTCAAAAGCAAAGCTAAAGCTATTGTCGACATGACTTTGGACGACAACAACAGCAAGAAGAGTGCTTTTCCCACCGAAAAAGTGGAATGCTTTGTTGGCAATTGCCGAGGAGTTTCCCGGCGAAGTTGGAGAACTTGCAGCTGTGCAGGACCTGGAGCTCCGGACTCCGGACTTCGAACTTCGGAGAGAAGCAAGGAAGGAGAGCAGCATGTGTCAGCTTCTTTTCAGAACGAAAAGGGATTTTCCTCTCCGGCGGGTCAAGACGAAGGCGGGACCGATAGAAAAGTGGGTGACAAGTAACCGGAAAATGTATTTTATTGTTTGCATCCGGACATTTCGTTTTTCCGACCTCTGCCCTCTGGCAGCTCAGCCCCCCTCCCCTCCGCCGACCAGTGACTTGGTCTTCTGGCACTAAATTTGTCGAGTAATTGATGATATTGCACTTTTTCCCCAAGTAAGTTCGGGGAAAGAGGAGAGCTGCAGATGCTCTGAGAGTTGTGGGCGTTATTGTGGTAATGTCCTGGTCGAGAAGAGTGGCAGGGTAATGGATGGAGATATATGCTGGTGGACACTGAGAAGGGGAAATGCTGCCGTTGATGCCGTGGGTTTCTGTAGACTAGTGTGATGTTTGAAGAATTATTATCTATGTGTATTATAGCAATGCATCGCCTACGGGGCTTAACGTTTCAAATATATTGGTTGGTAAGATCATCATCATAGCTTCCATTGTTGAAGTATTGTTGCTAAAGACTTCTTTTTATAGCGTAATTCCAGATTAGACTTACATTTACCCGCCCTATTTTACCTCTATAGAAACTATATATAATATTTTAAGAGGCTTTTAAAATCTTTGGATTGGTTTGTATATTATAACATTTATTTATATTAGGTCTACATTTTTGTAGTCAATTTGGTGTTATAATAAAAGTGTAAAAACAAACTAAAATTTTGAATGATCAGGTACTTTAAATTATTGGGATAAACACCGATCCTTAAGGCCCAGAGCGGTGATGTTAGTCTCTGTCCCACCAAGCTCCCACCAACCAACCACCCATTTGAGCCAGTTCGAGGCAGGCTAACTTGATAGATTGTCTAAATGTGCTGCGTATGAATGAATGAATGAATAAGCGAGTGCGGCCCCATCCACCACTGGCCCAGTCCGCCGTTTGATGGCCACCTCGAAAACGCCCGTTGGGTCCGCCTGATGCTTCTCCGAGATTGATGGCCAAAATGGCTGTTGAAACAACGGCGATGTGATGGCGATGGCGATGGCGAACAAGCAGCAGCAGCAGCAGCAGCGACTGCCGCTCAATGAAGAAAAATAATCACCAACATCATTTATTTTCCGTTTTGCCTGCCGACGTCGTACAGCACACATCAATCTTTTGCAACAGCAACAGCCAACTATCGACCATGACCAGGCCTGGACTTTGGCTAAAAGCAGGGAATGGGATCGGTCTGGGGAACTGGGACTTTTGGCCGTGATGTATACTTTTGTGAGCCTGACAGCTTCTGACGTGGATGTGGACGTGGACGAGAAGCCAGGCTTCAGCTTGATGTTTGATGGCTGATGTTTGATGCTAGGAGCCCGGAGGTTTTGCAGGTTTGGAGGCTTGGAGGTTTGGAGGCTGACAGACGACTTTTGACGTTTGCCTGCAATTAACGATGCCATCCCACTGGCTCAGTGTTGAAAAATGACTGCAGCTGCAGGTGAAAATGGCACGGCAGAGTGTTGGTTAATGACACGACAACAGCTCGAGTCAGCCAGCGCGGAGGAGACACCCCTCCCCCGCACTTAAATCATTAATTCCAATGACGAGGACCCCACACACGCAGCCCCATCACTCAGCCAGAGTGATGTCAAAGATAGACGAGCAGCCCGGAGCAGCTCCAAGCAGCGGAGGATGTGTCTCTGGCGGTGGAAGTGGTAGTGGAAGTGAAAATGGAAGTAGAAGTTGCCCGGGGCAGGGGTAGTCATCATCTGGAGTCGGAGTCAGCGTCGGAGTCAAAGTCGCGTCCTCGTTTGCTGAGACTAATTTGTGGCCCTCTTCTGAGACGCCCACAATGAGAAACACTACACTCATAGAAAACAGGGTACTGTAAAGCGACATCTGAGCCCAAAATAAAAAGGCTTAGGCTTGTGTTTATTCTATTAAAGAGAACACACTCTTTATTCTTTTAAATTGATTATAAAATTGATAGTAAAATGACTAAGCAAATTAAAATTTAACAAATTACGCTTAAAAAACAACAATAAGTACTTATAAATATCATCTTAAATACCATCATTTTGCTATGTTGCTTCCTACGCAACTGTACTTTTCCTTTTAATAAATATCCATTAAAATTAATAAATATTTATAAGCTTTGTAGTCTTTTTTAAAATATAAAATAAATCATATTAACAAAGTGCTTAGAAAATTTGTACAAATTTCATAGCATACTTTTCAGCTAGACAAGATAACATCACGATATAAAAAAGTCATGATTCGTAAAGGTTTTTCCTCAGTGCAGCCACAACTTTTTGATCCTTGCTGAGGCTCGTTATGTGACTAGTGACTTGGTTTTGTTGCCAGTCACTTGAAAAGTCATTAATCATTTTGGTGGATTTCGCTTTTTGCGCCATTTTGGGCGTAGTTGAGCGCCGAGCTGTCGGAGTCGCTGGATTTCGACTCGTAGTGCTGCAGAAATCCATCACGCACCCAAATGGCAGCCACCACCCAAACATCCAAACAGCCAACAGCTAACAGCCAACATCAATGTCAACGTCAGGCGGAGCAGGACGCGGATGTGTGCGCGGATGCGAGCGCGGATGTGAGCGCGGACAAGGCGACGGCAGCGACGTGTGACAGGCGGAAGAAAAGAGCCACCCATCAAGTGAGTTGGGCCAAAAAAGAGGCGGAGTGGCGGAGAAGCCGCCGCTGAATGAAAGTGCTTTGTGATTAGGAGTCAAAGCATATGCTTTTTAATTTGCATGTCAGTTCGCGGTGCCAGTGTGCCGTTGGCCAGATGATGTACTGCACGCTCGTCTCGGATTAGAATGCCTGTCTATTGCACCGTGAGATAGTCAGCAGGTTACTATCCGCAATTTGTGGACTTGTTATGCGAGCTAAATACAAGATACTGTGGGCACAAAGGGTAGATAGTTCCTGGAAATTATGGCTTGAAAGGGGCCAATCCGTTGACTAATTGGTGATATTCCCTGTTGTCAAAGACATAAATAGTACTGTTTTTAATGTGTATTGGTTAAATTATTTATTTCGAATTTCAAAAAAACGGTTATTTTATTTGTTCTGAAGCCAATAAAAGATCTGTTTGTTAATTCTGCTAGTTCCTTTTGCCCATATTATACCTAGGAGGTTGAGCAGATCGTTGACCATACGGCTGAGCAGATAAGTCTGTGATTACGTAGCCGCCGCTTTGGGGGGCATCATCGGTTTGTGGAGGTGGACATTGTGGAAGCACATGCCCGAAAACGGGGATTGCAGTCATCAGGACAACAGCCACCACAACAAAAAGTAGAGGCTGAGGAAATTATATATTTTAAATTTATATTTTATAATTTCTTTAACTGCTGTACTCACCAACAACTTCATCTCGACAGATATTCTGAATACGAGTTCTCCCCAGAGTGCATCGGTTTATATACCCCAGAGCTGCTCCTTATCGCTTCCACAGATGGGTTTTTATGCGCTTTAGCTGCGATAATGGACTTCGAGGTCATCTCATTTCTCGGTAGAAAGAACATTACATCAACATTTTCAAAGAATTGCAATAATCAAGAAGATAGACTTTCCTGGTATTTTTGTATGCTAGACTTACACTCTGTTGTGGAACCGATTGACAAAACATATTATTTATTTTTATAGTCTTGCAAATTGTCCTATCATGTCTCTTTCTCGAAACAATGAACTGATAAAACTAGCTCCACTCTTTCAAATTGTTCACTGTATCGATTGGAAATTAGTTATACATGAATGATCTACAGTTCTTTCGACTACACTAATGAAAAACAATAGTTTCGAGTTTGGGACATGAATATTTATGTTAAGCCACAAAAATGTTCAAATATCGGAAACCCATTTTATAATTAATATCCCTTAAATAAATTTAAGTATTAATTAAGTATTAATTAAGCGAAGATTTGTTTCTATTTGTTGTATATTACATTAGAACGCCATCTAGCGGTCATCAACAATAGACCTAGATTGTTGTATTTCTACACCAGCTCGAATTTACCCAAGTCATCAACCATACATTAACATGGTAGATGCATTGACTATATTTTTGACGAAACAGCAGCGACACCTTCCATACTTAACGAAACCCTAACAGAACTGTGTTAATCTGTTAACAGAATGTTTAACATATAGTCGGCCGATCCTTATGAAATTTGGTAGGTTGGATTGATTGGCCCAATATAAAACCCATTGCAAATCCCAACTTCCTAACTTTACAAACACAAGTTACGGCAATTCCGATCAATCAGTTATATGGCAGCTATAGGGTATAGTCGGCCGATCCCGTTCCGACATATATACTGCGTGCAAAGGAAAGAAGGGTGTGTGCAAAGTTTCAATTCGATATCTTTAAAACTGAGAGACTAGTTTGCGTACAAATAGACAGACGGACAGACGGACATGGCTATATCAACTCAGGAGATAGTTGAATACGTAAGGAAGTTGGGTAAAGATTATATGGCATTGTAATCTGATTTTTGTATAGCTTAAAATATGTCTTAAAAATGAAATAGAGTGTGATTGTAATTTTTTTTGATTAAAGCATAAAGCAAAGTATAAGATATAGAAACCCATGCCGAAAGGATCAACCAGGAAATGCTAAGTGACTCAATAGCACTTGCTACCTGGCACCTGCCACTCTGTCAAATCGTCCACTAAAAGACATTTAATTTAAAAGGCTCACTCGTCTCCCACCCGATGGCAGTCACTTAATGCAGATTCGCTGGAGGTGCGGTGGCTAATTAAAACAGCAGTTAAATTAGCGACGTAAAGCTGGGCGAGCAATTGACAAATTGTCGGCGAGACCGCCAAACAAGACCAAGCCGAACCGAGTGGAATCGAAACCCGCCGCATCGATCAGCGGCGACAGAAACACTTTGCCTGTCGTCTGTCGGTTGGTTTTGGCCATCTGGCGAGTTGGCCAATTCCTGGGCCGCAAGATGCCGTTAAATGGACACGCAGCGCGAGCCACATCTGAAGAAAGAGCTAATGCCAGATCCAGAGCCAAGGCCCCAGACTTGCCGCAGTTCTCGCTCTGCGTAGCCAGAGATGCTTCCTGTTTGATAAATTTGAAAATCAATTGAAAATGGCCGAAAGGCCGACGCATCTTGGTGGGAGACAGACTGTGTGTAGAGGCCGAGAGAGATTCGCGGAAAAGCAGCTGGAAGCTGTTCCGAGTTGAATCCCGAGTCGGAGATGCGTTCCCCCTGGGAACTGGAAACGCCAGTCACCGCTAAACTCCTAGCCAAGTCAAGTGTGGCTGTGGGACAGGAATTAAACTAGCTATCTGGGAGACTCCGATTTGAAAAACGGCTTTAAAACCTTTTGGAACCAAACATGTATTTTATAATTCATAAATAATTTAGTCTTAGTCCCCGCTAAGATATGCTATATGATATACCTTGTATTCTGAACAGCAAACAAAACCAGTCACACATTGTTTTAATAAAATAAAATTAGAATTAAGCTAAATTTAATTATGATTTTTAAGTTGTATAAGCAAATTTAGCTTATTAGAATCAAATGTTCAGAACACCGGTTTGAATAAAGTCCGATGTAATGTTACTATATTTATGAAGCTTCTAATTAACGGTGTCAAGATAAGAATTCATTCTTAAGTTTTTCTTTAATCTTTGTATTAATAATTTGTTTTAAGTTTTTCAATTTTTTTCCTGAGGTAATATATCCTTTGCCTACTTTCTAGTCACCTGTCACTAGCTTCAGTCACTCCATAGCCACGCACTTGCAGTCGCATCTCTGGCACTCACTGGCCATAACCCAGAATATTTAAGTTTTTTATTGATATTTTCTAGCCATCTATTTACCGCGGCTGGATCATCTGCCCGCTGTCCGATCCCCAATCCCCGCTACGATCGATGCAAATAAATCACTATGGAAAATGCAGTCGATGAAAAAAAGCGACGCGTAAGTGCCGCCAAATAAATTTCGCAATTTATTTATTGCAGAGTCCGCGCGGCTGCCGTTCGATTTGGATGAGGATGAGGATGGAGATGGGGATGGGGATTCCCCTCGCACTCCCTGTTTGGAGTCCATCCATGGTCAGGTTTTTGGCTATCGGCAAAACAGGCGCGTCGCGGAAGAGAAGTATTTTATTTCATTGCCAGCAAATTGGCAATAAGTGAAATTTGTTGGCCCCGCTCGGCAGGTGTGTGCCAATGGCCAATGGCGATTGAAGGAAAAGGAAATTTGAATCGCACGCAGATTCCCTTACTGGGGAAATTGGGTTAGCAATGCCACCTCTGAAAAGGGGGGCGTGTCCGCGCCCTTTTAGCAGCTCCTAAAGAGCCACTTAATATATCATCGGGCGGTTTAATTTGCCGATCGCTCAGGCACCTGCGAATTCCCGCGCAGCACAGCCGTAACCGATCGACTCTGACCCATTTCCCCATTGGTAAACATTCACTTTTGTGTCCGTAATTTATTGTTATACCTGCGCCTTCAACGGCATCATTTTTGCATAAATAAATCAACCGAAGTGGAGGCGAGCTGGCGGGCAAAGTGCAAATGAATTAGCATTTGTATTCACCCGATTCCCATACGCATCATTAGCCTAAGAGGCGGCATCAAGTGCAATTTAACCGTTAACAAAAGCCCATTGTGGGCTAACAACCCATTGTGTGAGTGTGTGGTGTATGGAGTGTGCTGTGTGTGGTGTGGGGAAAGCCTTTTACCCGCCAACCAGAAAGCCCGCGGAAAGAAAAGAATCCGCGCAGACGCAAATTGATTGAACGCAGCGAAGGAGTCGCTTCTCCATTGGAGTCGTCGCAGCGGAGAACCTGGCTAATGACCGCAAATTAACACTGGCCAAGGAGCCGCAAGACGAGTGTGTCATTAACAGAAGTGTTTGCCATCGGAGGGGGGCGAGGAGGGGGATAAGGAGGAGGAGGAGGAGGAGGAGGAGGAGGAGGAGGAGGAGCTGGTCGAGTGGCAGCCACTCACTTTGGCGCGGGCTTTTAGCATATCTTCTAATAGATCGCCAACTTGGCATACTTAACTCACGTTCCGAGTTAGTGTTTTCCTTAACTCTTTCTGGCCAGTTGACCGTGCTAAGTTGGGCCATAAATCGGCAGTTAACGCTAGCAGATCTCCAGCTACCGTCGTCGCCGCGAGCATTCATAACTTAAAGATTCTTCAAGTTCGGAGTATGGAAACCGTGGAAAGTCGAGGCGAAAATCTAGACTTGGTCTTAATGCAAGATGATGGTATCATGAAAGCAAATAATTGTTTCTAAATATATTAAAACACGTACTTGATTAAAGTAGCAATTTATATAATGTTCAAAACAGCAAAGTAGCAATCTCATACATAAAAATCCATTTCCGAACTTAATTAATTCTTTATAGACTTCAATCTGTATCCCAATAATAAAGATACATTGTTTCATATCCTCAAGTTAATATGGCTCAAAATCTGCGATACACTTTCATGTGGGAAGTATCACCGAACTAACCCAAATCTCGCCCAATTATCTATCACTATATAAAGCTATCCAGCCCACCCCGCACTTCAATTTGCAATTTGAGGCGAAAACCCAGGGAAAATGCAACATTTCGTTTGCAAATTGCTTGTGTGTAGGTTTTGGACAACTTTTTCTGTTAGCATCTTTCTATTCCTATAATTACCACAGAAATCGCATAACAAGCTGCTGCAATGGCGAAGGAAAAAAAAAGTTGCAAATGGGGGGCGGATGGGGAGTTACTGGGGATACGAAAACTGGGTCAGCTCTGTGGCATTATTGGTTTAGTGGATCAAACCGACAACGACTACGCAAAAGGCAATTTGAGTTGCAGAGGAGAACGAAATAAAACAAAAAGCATGGACCTCCACCGGCCACATTTATTAGATCAATGTCTCGGCAACAGCTAGGCAACATCGAGAGCAACAACCATCGGCTACCCACAGGACTGAGACTGAGACTGAGACTCAAACTGAGTCTCAGACTGAGACTGCTGAATAAATTGCAGAGGCTGCGGCCTACTCGAGCAGCAACGAAAACAAAAAGCTGGGGAAAACACAAAATCAAACGAATGACTAGCATGAGGCCAATATATAATAATGGTTAAACGCCCAGGCAGCGGTCTCTGCACTGCACTGCACTGCACTCCTCAGCAGCAACATCTAATAACAGCAGCAACATCTGCGGCGGCAACAAGAACAACTAAACAACCAAACAACCAAACAACCGAACAACCAGCCACCAACTGCCCATTAAACGGAGCTCTAGAGAATCCACCTCGATTGGCATTGGCACTGGCGAAACAATTTAAATAGAATTCGCCAGCATCAATGGGAAATTCGAATTGAATTTGTTGCTGATGCATGTTCAAGTTGCTGCTGTTCAGCACCACCCAACCAAAAAACTCGGAGAGTGAAAATAATCA